CCCCCCCCCTCTCTCTCCCTCCCCCCCTCGTACGCACGCACAGATCGTTGGTTCTTTCATCCCCAGCCAAGGCAGTGCCACCATCAGCGCCATCAGCCTGGTCCCTCCCTGGGCGTCGGCACTGTTGCCCGCGGCCACGGTCCCGGCCCCCGGTGACCGGACCCCCTACTGGGACTGCCCGGCGGTCTTTGTCCACTCGTCCGGCGGGCAGTTTGGCCTCTATCTACCGGCCCTGCTGCCGGCCGGGCCCGGGGACGAGGTTGACATTGGGTTTGCCCTGGGCGGGCACCACAGCCCGGAGGGGGCCGACCCGCTGGTGCACATTTCGGCCCTGTCCACGCATTGGGATGTCCCGGCCCTGGATCGGTATTATGAGGCGTCCTTCCGGCCGGCGCAGCGCCCGGCCGGGGCCGGGGCCGGGGCTGGGGCCGGCAGTTCCGACCCCCCGGGCCGCGGGTCCTCGGCCAGCGATTGGGCTCGGCCGGGGCCGGGTTCTGGTCCGGGCTCTATGTCCTCAGTCAGAACAGCCTGGGCCGGGTGTTCATGATGAAGCTGGCCGCGCAGGCCCCGGGGGATTCCTGGCCGCCCGGGCGGTGGCCCGGGCGACCGGCCGGACCGGCGACCAGTCAGCTGGAATTGGACATCCTGGCCGAGCAGGCCCCGGTCTTGGGCCACATCACCTGCCTGTCGGCCCCGCCGCCGGAGCTGGGCCCGGTGGTCGGGGCCACGGTGGCCGTCGGCAGTGTGCGCGGCCTGGTGCAGCTGCTGAACATCCGGGCCGAGGTGCCGGCCGTGGCCGTGCGCCCGGCCGTCACCGGGACCTCGATCCTGCGCACGTACCGGGTCCTGGCCCGGCAGCAGGCGCACAGCAGCAGCACCACCGTCCGGGGGATTCTCTGGGTCAGCCGGACGACGCTCCTGGTGTGGGGCGGTCCGCCGACCGTGCCCCCGGGGGCCAGCCCCTCCCTGCATGTGGATGATCTGGCCTCCGACACGATCAACAACGAGGTGGTCCTGCTGGACTTGACCAGCGGCCGGACTCGCGCGCTGGCCCTCTCGTCGCACCTGGACCCGCTGGTCCCGCTGGACGCGCGCCGGGTCAACATTGCTTCGGTCCGACTCTCGCCCTCTGGGCGCTTCATCGTCATCATCTACCGGTCCGGGTGCGTGCTCTGCCGGGGTTTCCTCATGGTGATCCTTTTCCGGGCTGATACACACACTTTCTCTCTTTCTTTCCTTCTTTCTTTGCTTCTCTCTTTGCTTCTTACTTTGCTTCTTTCTTTGCTTCTTACTTTGCTTCTTTCTTTGCTTCTCTCTTTGCTTCTCTCTTTCTTTCCTTCTTTCTTTGCTTCTCTCTCCTCCTCTCTCTCCTCCTCTCTCTCCTCCTCTCTCTCCTCCTCTCTCTCACCCACTCACCCACTCATACCCCTCTCACCCACTCATACCCCTCTCACCCACTCATACCCCTCTCACCTCTCCCCGCCCCCTCGCCTCCCTCCTGCCTCCCGTGTTATGCCTAAATGACACCACTCCAGCGGCATGTCAGTATTTTCCTCCACCACACTGGCGCCCTTGAAGGTGAACTACCTGTACGCCGGGTTCCCGGGGTTCCACGCGCCGCTGAGCGTCTCCAACCTCAGCTTCATGCCGATTGGCAGCGGCCCGGTCGGGCCGCCGAACACCGAGAAGGACTACTTCGCCGTGTACTCCCAGCGCCCGACCATCGAGATTGCCTTCTGCTCGCTGTCCTTCGGGCCGGGGTCGACAGGCGATCCGACCGGGGTCGGGGCTAATCCAGGGTCCGAAAGCGGGGCGGCTGCCGGAGTCGGCCCCGGGGCCGGGGCCGGGGCCGGGTCTGGTCCCGGCTCCGGCCCGGGCGTTGGCCCCACCCGGCCGGCCCCCTCGAACCAGGTATTCGTGGAGATCCACCTGAAGATCCCCACCACCAACCGGGTGTCCTCCACCATTGCCTGGTGCAATGAGGGGCTGCTGCTCGGGGCCGAGGATGGCAAAATCCGCCTCGTGTCGCCGTTGCATCGGATCGTGGAGCTCTTCCGCCGGTCCGGCGATCAGACCGGCCTTCTGGCTTCCGGCGGGGGGGCCTCCCTGCCGGGGGAGTGGCCCGGGGCCGGGGCGGCGGACCAGCCCCCCGGCGGCGGGCCCGGCACGGCCGCCACAGTGGCATCGCCATTGGCACCGGCATCGGCAGCAGCCGCAGCCATGGCCGTGGCAGCCACGGCGGCTGGCGGCGGGCCCGGGCCAGCGGGTGCTCTCCCCGCAGCCGGCCCGGCCGGCCTCGGCGCAATGTCACCGGGCTCGGGGGCCGGGTCCATCCGGCGCCGGCCTTCCCGACCGGGCGGGTCACCGGTGACGGTGATTCCGGGCGGCGGCGGGGCTCCCCCGGTGCCGGCGTCGCCGGGCGGGGCGGTGGCCGGCACCCCGCCCCCGACCCCCGGGGTGGGTCTCGCTTCGTCCACGGTGCCGGCGGCCCTGCTGGACCCGACGGACTTGAGCCCGCAAATTTCGGTCCTCACCTCGCAGGACTTCTTTTACGGCCCCTTGCGATCGATCATCCCCCTGCCCAGCTCCAAGCAGCAGATCACCCTGCTGCTGCACTTTGACCGGCAGTCCGGCATTTGGACATGGCCCGCGTCGCCGAGTTGGCTGCCGGAGCGCTCCGGCCGTTGCCTCGGCGTCTTCCAGGACCCGGGTCTCGGGCCCCAGGTCAAGCTGAAGCGGCACACGACCAGCAACAAGCACTGGTCCATGCCGCACTACCCCAGCCTGCTGACCAACCTGTCGCCCAGCATGCAGGCCATCTTCCCCCATGGCACGGTCCTCGGCCATGCCTTCACCAGCATTGCTCGGGCCATGGTGGCCGGGGGGGCCGCGGCTCCGGGGCGGTCGTCCCCACCGGGCACCGGGTCCGGCCCCGGCAGCGCTGCCTCTTCGGCCCCGGGGTCCGGCTCCGCCAGTGCCGCCTCCTCGGTGTCGGGATCGGGGTCCATGTCGGGGTCCATGTCGGGGTCCATGTCGGGGCCGGGGTCGGTGGCGGGCTCGGCCGGCTCGGTGCAGCAGCTGGTGGCCTATGCCACCATGGGCCCGGCCCTGGCCGAAGGGGGAACTCCCCCTGGGGACGCTGGCAGCCAGCCCGGCTCGCACCCCGGTTCGCACCCCGGTTCGCACCCCGGCTCGCACCCCGGCTCGCACCCCGGCTCGCACCCCGGCTCGCGCCCCGGCTCACATCCCGGCTCGCCCGTCACCAGCTCCTTATCTCCTCAGTCGCCGGAGTTCCTGTCCTTGTCTCCGGGCGGAGCCGGCATGTCAACGTCCCCAGCCGGCCCGAGTGGCCAGGATGCCCCGGATGCGGTGTCGGGCATGGCCCCGACGCTGGCCGTGCCCTCGGCCCCCCCCGGCCGGCCGCATCACCTCTACCTGTGCCCCCCACCATGTGTCTGCTGTCAGTGTCAGCTATTGCTTCTGCGACCGGACCTGGCGGCTCGCGGGGTGCCGCTCCCGCGGCGGGGCTACTGCTGTCGACTGGCCTTCTCCTGCAATCTGCCCTTCCTGGGGCTGACGCCGCCGGTGACGCGCCAGCGCATGGCCTCGGCCAGCGAGCAAGATGGCCGCCTGGACATCGAGCCCGAGCGCGAGCCGACCGTCATGCACATGGCCCACTCGCGCCGGCGGCTGATCTGCGGTATGTTCCGCGCTCTGGGCGCATGCTTCCTGCTTCTTCCGCCCGCGCGCGCCCCGCACTGCGTTGCCCTGACACCATATCTGCCCGCTTGCGATGTTCCCTGCTGCCTTGGTGCCTGTCGTGTTTCCCCCCCGGCAGTGATGTCTGACGGGTCCATCCGCATCTTTCACAACTGGGAGCGCTGA